TACGCCTGCATCGTGGACACGTTTGTCTGCTGTAGTCGTCTTGAAACGCCATGTCGACAGGGCACTTGAAGGAATTGGTTCATGAGATGAAGCATTCTCATGTGTCATAATTTGTTTGAAAAGAGCGTTCTGGAACTTTGGCAGATCGCAGTCACGACAACTACATTGTCGTGTAAGCCAGTTTCGGTTTAAAGAAACAGTGGTCAATGAGTGAGTGAGTTTTTTTTACGCCGCTTTTAGCAATATTCCAGCAATATCACGGCGGAGGACACCGGAAATGGGCTTCACACAATGTACCCATGTGGGGAATCGAACCCGGGCCTTCGGCGTGAAGAGCGAATGCTTTAACCACTAGGCTACCCCACCGCCCCCAAGTGGTCAGTCAAGAAACAATCGAATGATCATTTAAATCTGTTCTTTGTGAATGGGTTGGGTTGAAAACTGTCGCCTCATTCATCAGAACTTCCCTTTTACATAATCTACTGGAAGGGTGCTCAAAAGGTGAGGTGAGGTGAAATGGGGTTTAACGTTGCACTTAAGAATATTTCGCTCATATGACGACGTGCATGCGTGTGTATGTGTGGCTGCTTGTACTAGCTCAGACTGAAGCTGGTTTTATAGTGCTAGCTCACTGAGATACCATGCCGCAGTTAAGCATGAATATCCCACTTAGACACATTATAGTGACTCAGAGCCGACCAGTCCTTGTTGTACCCAGTTATGCCAGGCAGGGAACAACAAGTACCATATTTTAACGTCTTTTGGTATGACGCGGCCGGGGATCGAACCCGCGACCTTCCACTCTCCGGGCGGACACTCTAACCACTACACCACGGAGGTTGCAGGATGTAATCTGATAAAACTGTGATCAAGGATCATAATCAGGTTGAACCTGTAATTCGATTCCACAATTAGCATAACCTGCCAGTTTAGTGACGTGATCTGTATTTTATTGTACCGCCCTCAACCGATTTATCCATGATACGTCCTAAGACATAATCCGCTTCCAATATGTATCCTTTAATATACAGAGTTCTTGTCCAATAGAGCAACTCTAAAGTTTGACAAGCCAAAATATACGAGGCATGTGAATACGGGTGAGTGAGTGAGTTTAGTTTTACGCCGCTTTTAGCAATATTCCAGCAATATCACGGCCGGGGACACCAGAAATGGGCTTCACACATTGTGCCCATGTGGGGATTTGAACCCGGGTCTTCGGCGTGACGAGCCAACGCTTTAACCATTAGGCTACCCCACCGCCCCTTCACAAATAGAATAGTCCTGGATCATATCAGTAGAAGCCCAGCGGTTAAAGCGTTCGCTTATTATGCCAAAGACCCGGGTTCGATTCTTCACTTCGGTGCAGTAAAGTAAAGCAGTGCATGGTGTCCCTGTCGTGATGTTACTGGAATGATGTTAAAAGCGGCATTAAACAACACTCACTCCGTATGGGAACGACCAGTGCAAAGAAGGGATAGGAACACGGGGTAACGCATTCGTAAGTACTCGCCGTGACCTACAAGAAGACCCGTACCCTTATCGTACGCCATTATTGTCAAGAATCGTGGCAAACCAGTCAAATCGCGCGTAGTAAAACGCATTTCGAAGCATGAAAACGCATTTCGAAGCAGCACCATCGAACTTGGAAACTTCGCTAAACTATGCAAAGCACAATTTAAACATAAACTTTGAGCTGAAGGATGAGAAACTTTCAACACTGAAACATATTTACAAAGGGAATGACTGTACTGCTGTTTTGCCCACGGCATATAGGATATTCTGGGAGTAGCCCTGTTTGGAAATTCAGAGTTATCTTTCCTTGGTAGTAGTACATTCGTTGGTTTCACATTACTTTTCAACTCGCTGTGCGCATGCGCAGAGCGTGTGATAAATATCCACTGCATGTTTCCGGTTTGGTCGTATGTTTACCGATAGTGTAAATAAACGCTAAATAAAAGATGTTATGAAAATTATTTACGTTGTGACAACTGTTCACAGCTGAGTACATACTTCCATTTGCCTATGGTTTTCAATAATTGATGTCCTATTTTGGTTGCAATTCCATTAGAGATGTGTTTGTTTAGTTGTGAGAAGAGGATGTGCGGGAAGGACGGTGGTGGTGAGATGTCTTTATACAAGAGCTTGTTAACATAAATTAAGCTATTAATTAACTAATCCCGGCCTCATAAATCAATCATAAAGCCGTTTACCACCAAGACACATGACCCGGACGAATCGGGGTATCCATCCGCATGATCGGCGGATCCTGGTACGAGCAAGGTATACAAATGTCACGGCACGTTCCCCAGGCGCACCAATGACTACGATTCACGCCTTATTACAAAAACGGTATACATTTGAACCATGCAATTACTGCACTGGGACCTACGAACGAGTACGGCTACACGCTGTAGTCGGTACAGTTAGCCATGTTTCTGCTTCTTTGTTGTCATCACGGTGGAGGACACCAGACTGAGAATCGAACCCGGGTCTTGGACACGACGACGCAACGCTTAATCATCTCACCTAAACTCTCCACACACACACACACACACACACACACACACACACACACACACACACACACACACACACACACACTGCACACCCGGCCTTCGCACACAGAGAATTCTGGCCAGGTGACTGAGGACTCCTCGTAATCGAGTCTGGACCAGCTAAACCAGTGATTAACAATATGAACATTACATCCTGCTATCCAATCTTCGGTAACTTCTCCAGAACTTCCAGACTAGTCTCATGGTCGGGAGGGCGGTGGGGTTGCCTAGTGGTTAAAGCGTTGGCTCGTCACGCCGAAGACCCGGGTTCGATTCCCCACATGGGCAAAATGTGTGAAGCCCATTTCTGGTGTCCCCCGCCGTGATATTGCTGGAATATTGCTAAAAGCGGCGTAAAACCAAACTCACTCACTCACTCTCATTTTCGGAATACTAAACATGGCCACTCACAAGCACGTCACACTTCATGGGGGACCTTGGGTCACGAGGTTATCTTGAGTAATTGAATGAGTGTTGTAAAGATGGAAACGGTAAATTTGAAAACCAGATCCCCCGAGAAAGTCAGGGAGGGTCTCCATTCCCGCCGTCTGAACAAACGCTCGTCTCATGCAATATTCAACAGCAAACGCAGATTAAAGTCAGTACTCTTGGCGCAGCATCCAATACGGTACCTGTGATTAACGGTAAACTAAACCCTGGTTCCAAAGAACTTTGCATTAATGGCAAAGCTCGCTTGATTTCCATCACAAGAAATCACTTAGGCCAGATGGCAGCCATTAAGCGAACAAAATTTAGTAGTTTTAGTCCGCTTGGACATTCGATTTCTAACTTCTTGTGACGGAGTCACTTCTCAATGAAGCCAACGCCAGCGATTCTCTAAAAACGCCGCGTTATTGAAGCTTTCAAAATTATTCCCGGCTTCACAAGCCTTCATTTGGGATTGCGGATCAGCGCCAAAGCCGTGTTCATTTCGTTGACTCCATTGTTCGGTTTTGACAGTACTCGTCATCAGACGATATTGCCTTGGAAGCCCGACAATGAGTCGGTTAAGGGCCGACCGTATGAAGCTGGTTTTTTATACACTCCTAATCACCATAAACTTTCTATTTATTATCAGGAATGATATTGGAAGTTTCTTTCATCTGCTGATTCTGGCCTGGCCTGGCATTTAGTCATAAGTCTGTCCCCGTAGACAAGATTTAAGTCTTGAAGACGCAATCCGAAGACCGCTGTTCATACACAGATACCTTGGAGGTCCCACCTTGGAAATATACGATAAGTGATAAATTGCGACCGAAATTATGATTTATGTGAAATATCATATTAGCGAAAAGGATTTAAAAGTAACATCTTCTTGAAATATGCACGCAGCATGTTCTTTTGGGATAACCATAAACTCCATCTCCTGAGCTGAAAAGCAAATACCTACAAAATGTCCACAGAAACGATCGATTACGATTGGGTGAACGGGAACGAACACATGATCTGACGAGGTTACGATGGAGGGGAGGGGGGAGGGTGTGTGTGGGTGAGTTGTTGCGGGGGATCTAAGACTTTTTTGGTTTTGTTCTTGTTCCCTGATGGTATTGGTTCTCACACGTCTTTTGAACGTTTCTTGTCAAGTATGGACCAAATGAACCGGTGATCGATATCATGAACACTACACCCATCCGCGGGGAAACCGGAGCCATTTTAACCGCGCATCCACCGGTGATAGAGGAAGGGTTAGTTTGCTGTTTACAGTGCGTGAGTGAGTTTGCTTTTACGAGTGAGTTTTATTTTAGCATTATCCCAGCCATATCACGGCTGGGGACACCAAAAATTGGCTTCGCACATTGTATCCATGCTATTTGCAACAGGTTGTATTACACTGGTAGGGTAGCTTTGGGACAATGCCTTAGCTGGAGCCCTGAGCCCAGACTTGGATGGGGATCGGGTGGACAAAATGCCTGACCTGGATGACTGGTGTGTAATCGCATCTTGATGGCATCACGTGATCATGCTATCACCCACCAGGTTACTTGGGTCGGACCTGAATACCCTCCACGGATGAATGTGGATGACCTTTGCATGAGATAATATTCATTCTGTATGTGAACCATTCAATCCACATACACGTCAGCTTGACATTCAGGTGCTTTGGGTATAGTCTGTGTCCAGCCCACAACTCATCCCCAACCCTCTGAACCCCCCTTCTTAAAAACACAAAAACAAAACAGAGAAAAACCAACAACAAAAACTGCCAACGCGCACAGCCCTCAGACGTACACCACAAAGTCGCAGGAAGCATCTAACGGAATCGGTCAGCGTCCTGACCAAATTGGTGAACCTACCCGTGAAGATCTGGGTTAGAACTGGTCTTCAGCAATCCATGCTTGTCGTAAGAGGCGACTAACGGGACCGGGTGTTCAGGCTCGCGGACTTGGTTGACACATGTCATCGGATCCTAATTGCGCAGATCGATGTTCATGCTGTTGATCACTGGATCAGACTCGGTTATATACAGACCGCCCCCATATAGCTGGAATATTATTGAGTGAGGCGTTGAAAACAAACCAATAATTATTTTGGACCATATGGATCACTAGATTATTGGACCCAGCCTCGATTAAATACATACCATCTTCTAAAAGCGGAAATAGTTGCGTCGGCGTTGAAAAAGAAACAACCACATCTAAAGTTTACAGTAAACAGGTCCTTATTTTTTCTGGTCCAACATCGAAGACAGAGTCAATCATTACACAACATCAAGTATTTTTTGTCTTCAAATATCGACAATATGTCAAGTGACATTACACCTTGCTCGGAGCTTTAATCTAACCTGCATAGTGCAATTAAGCCAATGCGTCTTCATAAACACGTATCTTGACCAATGACGACTGACACTGCAAACAGTAAAACATGATCATTTGCGCTTAAGGCACCAAAACAAAAACACAACAATAAACGTTTCATTCCAAAGTGCTGGAGGTAATAGATCTGATTTGTAACCACGTGAAATTATATATCTTTAAAGGAAAAACTATTCAATAAAATATTAAAAAACATAAAAAGACACAATTTCTTGTTGAAGAATCATTCCGTTCTCCATCAGACTGCTAACTGCATGGTTGGAAGAAATTTATGTTTCACGAACAAAACAAAGTTACCGAAAAAGTAACTGAAAAAAGTTTCATTCTAAAGTATTAATATTCTCCGAAGTTTTTTATCAAATTTCCAAACGCATGCACAAAACAAATCGCTGTTTATTGCCGTAAGACATGGAAATATAAAAGGGACATTTCATGCTTGTGTATAATAATTTTCCTCGTTGTTCTCTAGCTTCTAAATGCATTGCCAGAACAAAGCAATGTTCCAGTGATAAAACAAAGATTATCACTGATAATGCTCTCCCGAGTCATCTGGCTGTAAAGACTCTTCGTCTTTCCTTTGATAATCTTGACGTCTTCGGGTCAGCCAAAACAGCGATATTCCTTTAGCAATTCCTACATTTCCAAAGACTTCCAAAGAGACTTACGGAAGTCGTATGAGTCTATTGTTCTTTGAGTTGCGGAACCCAATCATTATAAAAAAAAAGACATACAGCATCCATCAACTAATTGAGCGTAATGTCAATCATAGGATTCTGCAAGAAATGGTTATTTACCGACCGGGGTAATACGGTGAAATAGTTCTGAGTGGGACACTACACAACAAACAAACAAACAAACAAACAAGAACATTCTCGAGCTTGAGAATATTTCGCTCATATGACGACGTGCATGCGTGTGTATGTGTATGTGCGGCTGCTTGTACTAGCTCAGACTTAAGCTGGTTTATAGTGCTAGCCCACTGAGATTCCATGCCACAGTGAAGCATGAATACCCCACTCAGACACATTATACTGACTCCGAGCCGACCAGTCCTTGTTGTACCCATTAATGCCGAGCGCCAGGCAGGGACCAACAAGTACCATATTGTAACGTCTTTTGGTATGACGCGGTCGGGGATCGAACCGGCGACCTTCCATTCTCCGGGCGGACGCTCTAACCACTACACCACGGAGGCGGTCTGCATGTAATGAGGACAAAAACCAATATTCTTCCACATGATCGATTTTTAAAATTTGAATCTGGGTGGGAATGTTTTTTAAAATATTTATAAAAACGCTTTTGTTCATTGAACATTTTTAAAGCAGGAAACAATTTAAAACTTTGATTTAAACTCATACATCGACCAAGTAAGTTCGGAGACAACACGTCCATGTTTAAAAAAACGTACAAAGACGTTAAGAGGTATTTCCACCACCATAGAATTTCACACGAGAAGACCTGTCAAAACCACATTAATCACGGCAGATTTCGAACCTTTTAATACATCATGTTTAATCTGGCAAATGTGTTTTATTTGAATAGTACTCAAACCTGATGGCCCGTGAATGTCTCGCGTTTAAACAAGCCGAGTAGTTTAACTTCCGAAGCCATTAGGTCCGACAGTCGAATACCTCCTCAATGGCGGACCTTGAAGTGAAGATGAATTATGGGGAATAACGGCGAGCTTAATGATCTTCAAAAGGACAATTTCCAACCGTCCTCTGAACTCTGCTTCTGTATCCATCCATCTTCACTGGAAGCTGTACCGTGGAATTCATTGTTGCTTAGATTTTATGCCAACAATTAAGAAGTGACGTTAAAAGGAATACATTTGAAACTTTTTAACGTTTTAAGTGGCATTACGCCACAAAAACAGCTCAATGGGAATTACAGAAGCATTGACTTGAGTGAGGTTACGCATTAAAGGGTCATTCAGCTACCTCAATACACTGATGCCACTGAGGATACGGTGACATCGCTCCTGTGCTTCAGAATCTGAATCCGTGGAATATCAATACAGTAGCCTATTTGAGGATGCTTTAGAGCTGATATGAATATCTAGAACCGAAACCTAACCAGTGTGTTTTTCAAAGGCGAGTGATTGTGTGCTTCTTTGTTCTGTAGAGCCGCTGTTACCAATATCCCCGAAATGACGGTAAATAGTCTGTAAATAGTCGCGCCTGGACCAGACAATCGAGTGACTGATACCATGATGATAGATGCAACTGTACAATGAGATGCATCAACCGAGAGAGAGAGAGAGAGAGAGAGAGGAGAGATGAGAGAGAGAGAGATAGAGAGAGCGAGAGAGAGAGAGAGAAAGAGAGAGAGAGAGGAGAGAGAGAGAGAGAGACTTGCTCTAGAGAGAGAAGAGAGGAAGTAGAGAAGAGAGAGAGAAAGAGAGAGAGAGAGAGAAGAGAGAGAAGTCTAGTCAAGCGGACTGTAGAGACCCCAGTTGGTCGTTTATTATTTTCTAGGGTGTGCTGAATCATTTGAACGCATGGAAGTATAGTAATTCTGTCCCTCGAAGAGTCAAGTCTAGTCAAGCGGACTGTAGGACCCCAGTTGGTCGTTTATTATTTCCTAGAAGTTATCATTTAAACTATTAGTGTTTACCTGGAGACTTGTGCAAGTCTAGTTTAGACTACATCGGGACAGACAAAATATATTGCAACATATATATCAATAGATAGTAGATTTGAACAATGTATTTCGTTAACGATAATACCTAGCGGTCCCAGGACCAGTCAGATTTAAGTCCTGGCCCATTGACATACTAAACCGCAGTTTAACATGAGCCAGTCCTTGTTTAATCCCCTATAGTGCCGTGCTGGGTAACAACAAATAACATTCTCTCACCCCCTAAGGTTTAACGGTGCCGAGGATCGAACCATCGGCCTACCACTCTCCGGGCCATGGGAACTACAAAAGTGGTCTGTGAAGGATTCCGAAAAGAGAAAAAAAAACATTTTAATTCCCATTTGATATACAGCGACAAATTAGATTTCAAAAGCATTGCAATACCTCAACGCCATAGTCACAAAAGTTGAGAGGTATTGTACAACGCGTAGTTATGTGAGTTACCATGGCAACGGAAAAAGGTGGAGTACAATATTTATTCACTGCTATGCAAACCTGTTCATTGTTTTAAGCCTGCCGAGTCTCTGCATTCACCTCCCGCGGGATCCTGCATGTCGTAATGCTGCTTCTGCTATGTTAATGACTTAAATGAGCTGTAGAACGCTCTGAGTCATCCAATAATTGCTTGTAACTATTTATGATGTTAAATAACATCACCGCGGGTCATGTGATTAACAAGCATTTCTGGCTGCATTCTGCCTTCAGTCAAGTCGGAGTCGACACTCCTTGCTTGTCAGGCTGCATAAACATATGGAGTTTTAACCGAAATAGCCGTGTTTTGCAGTAGCCAATAATGTAGAGCCATATGGTCCCGTAGCTCACTTGACTTGTGAGTGAGTATTTTTTTTATGCCGCTTTTAGTAATATTCCAGCAATATCACGACAGGGGACACCAGAAATGGGCTTCACACATTGTACCCATGTGGGGAATCGAACCCGGGTCTTCGGCGTGACGGGCCAACGCTTTAACCACAAGGCCTACCCTACGCCCCTCACTTGAAGTATGAGTGAATGACGTAAGTGTGGTCATATAAAACGTCGAATTGTAAGAGGCAATGTAAGTTTCATTTTCAAATATTGCCAACTGAGGCGTAAAAATATATGCATTCACTTCCATGTCTTCATGCATTATCAGCTGTTACAGATCAGTCTAAGATTCTGCCAAAACAAGGAAACCGTCGTTATCGCCCCTGGCAACATGATCCCATTTTCCAGACTTCCAGATTCACGCTACTCCGCCAGCCCGAGACAACAAACTTTTGCTGAGGCCAGGTAAATTCCTAACAAGAAGACAAAGTCATCAATATCCCCCGCAATGGCAAAATACTCTTCATGATTATGTCTACGAGTTATGATTATGTCAAATATTTAGGTGTGTATATAGAAAAGTGGCAGGAGAGTATTGAAAGGTTTTGAACATTCTGCTCCAGAAAGGAGCACTATCACCAATTTCAGTCTAAGTCAAACTTGTTGCCATGGAAATGACAAAAATATTTTATTCAGAATTCCGAAACTACCAAAAGGCACCAGTACACCACCAGATCTATCTATGTGCCAAGTTTGGTGAAGAAATAGTGAACAGTTTTAGAGTTCAGCTCCGGAAAGGAGCACTACCACAATTTCAGGCTAAGTCAAACTTGTTGCCATGGAAACGCCAAAAATATTTGATTCAGGATTCCAAAACTACCAAAAGGCACCAGTACACCACCAGATCTATCTATGTGCCAAGCTTGGTGATGAAATAGTGAACGGTTTTAGAGTTCTGCTCCGGAAAAGAGCACTACCACCAATTTCAGTCAAAGTCGAACTTGTTGCCATGGAAATGACAAAAATATTTTATTCAGAATTCCAAAACTACCAAAAGGCACCAGTACACCACCAGATCTATCTATGTGCCAAGTTTGGTGAAGAAATAGTGAATGGTTTTAGAGTTCTGCTCCGGAAAAGAGCACTACCACCAATTTCAGTCTAAGTCAAACTTGTTGCCATGGAAACGCCAACAATATTTAATTCAGAATTCCAAAACTACCAAAAGGCACCATAGACCACCAGATCCATGTATGTGCCAAGTTTGGTGAAGAAATAGTGAACGGTTTAATGTGCACGGACGGACGGAGTCCATTTTAATACCCCCCGCAAAACGCGTTGCGGGATAATAATGGTGGTCCTAACTAGCTAATTTCATCTTGCTAAAGTTAAGACTGTAGAGAGAGGACAGGAATATATAGAAAGTAAACAAGATTGTCGTGTTCAAGTAGAACGAGCTGTAAGCTCTTGAGGAGTAAAGTTCCGACAAGCCGGTAAGCACTGTAAATGGTACTGTATAAAGTTATGACTTATCCTTGCATGCACGCACCAACACGCGCACACACCTGCATGTACACAGATGCATCGCTATATACATGTACGTATTTTGAAAGCTATATAACGCCATTTTCTCCTCATATAAATTAAAGCCACACTGAGACATACCGAGTCTATGTTCTGGTTCGCCAGAGACGAGAATATTTTATCAGTATCTCCCACAAGAAACAAAACAAATCCTTATGTATCAAGTGGATATTTATATGGATTGACATAATCCCATACTCCCTCGAAGGTTGAGCATACCAACAACTTTCTGTAAAGTTACCCGAGTGTTCACAGAACCTTAACGTTTGACAGAAATATTTTCAGTCTAAATACTTTTATGTATTTAAATAGGATATATTGAAAAATAAACTTCGGACAATATTTGGGTTGGAAGTAAAGAAATAAAGTGTAGCATCTTGCCTAAATAGAGTTTCAAAATAAAAACTATGTTATACGTAGCAAATTAGGAATGTGTGTCATGTCGTAATGACATAAGATTGATCGCATGAATTCACTACATAGATCTACTTCGCTTTCTGAGCTGCTGTCGGTACTGTTTCAGCTAACCTTGGGCTAAGGTTGATATGTGCGAATATATGTAATGTCATTGAGCGAAAAGTTAACATTTGTATTGTTATTATTGTCTAGTGACGCTGTGGCGAACGCCTGTTTTCTCCTCAACACTGCACTGAAGAAGCGAGTCAACTCCCCACTATGACGTCAGGTCATGTGAGGTGAACACTACTCATTAATTCTCGGTAGTTTCCGGAACACGAGTACTATTTTATTAAAAAAATAACAACATTGTTTGCTATAAATATTGACTTTAGAAAAACAAATATTCTCAAGTTTTCATATGCCTTCTAAATGACTTGATTTCCGATTTTGTATGTATATCCCCTTTAAAGTAAGTGGTTTTGGAACTAAGGAAGCGTAGTAATGTCTAAAATGTAATTAAAAAATGAACAAAAAAACCAAAACGGACTCAAACAGAACATTACCATAGGGAATGTCGCGGCTAAGTGTAAGAAACAGCAAGAAACAACACGATGCTGTAAACAGATCTGACTTCTCAGAAACGAAAGTACAGCTGAAGTAAACGAGTGGTTGACAGTATGAGCACGGGTCCACATAAATGATACAACTGTTTATAATCACTTCGTAACTATTAGTTCCCACCGGTCTACCACAAGTATCGCGATTTGAGGGCCAGTTCCTTCAACAGATCCCAAAGGAAAGTATTAACTGAAATCAGATACTTATAAAACACCGATTGGAATTAAATCTGGTAGATTCCAGTATTTAACTAACATCAAACATTTTAACGTATTCCTGCCGACTCTTAAGAGTCCAATTAAGTCTCAAAATGAGTTACCAAACTCTACTTAGAGCGTTCATACGAAATACGAACCGATCTATTTGAAGAATTATTTTGTCTTCAAGCCCAATTAAAAACTACTTCAAGGGGGATAACCGCTACAAGATCTACAGGTGGGGTTTGATTTCCGAAGACGACCACCTGTGTCCAAGTCGGGGATTCCCCAGCCGATCAATCTCCCGCGGAAACAGAGGCGCCCTCTTGTGAGCAGCACGTGCTAATTACGCCAGGGACTTACAACTAGTTCTTTTCATGTATCCCCAAGGTCGACAGGGGGTGAAGGGATCGATCTCGGAAGACGATGAAAGTTTTAAATCCATTTACATAGATATTTGTGTTAGCCTTTGGGCTATATAGCTCGGGATTACAAAAGGTGCATCGACAAGAGTGTAGACAGTTTTTCTCGATCTCACCACCCCAAGCGATTTCCGAACTACCCGTCAGAGTGTAGAATGAATAACCACGATTTGTAGATATTCCGGGCGCCATCTGTTTGGCGTCCTCGCATGCCAAAACAGCGGACACTGCAGCGGGAACCTTCAATTGCAGAACCGAAATAAACATATATGTAATATGTCTCATGTACTTAATTCGACAGTATGAATCACACACTTTCTTCTGTAGACATACCTTATGATTATGGAATATGGTTTCTGGGATATTTGTTCATTAACCAAGGATAATTCTTTGAGACATCTGAACTTGTTTTTAGTAAATGGCCTCTTGTTATTAGTAAATGACATCTTGTTATCAGTTGAGCGAATTTCCAATACAACCACAGGTGTTACCTCAAGTT